TCAAGGGAGCATTGAAGGCCTCCTGTTGAAACAGGTCTTTGGGAAAAAATGTGGGCGGGGCCTCAGTCAGGTGCTGGAAGAAAACTGATCAGGAAAGAAGGGCCTCAGGAGGACCCTGCCAGCATGTGGCTTCAGGAGCCTGGCCACCGGTGCTCGATGCTGCTTGCTTTACCGAAGGCCCCCAGAACCCCCAGGCAAGTACTGACTTTTGCATAATGAAGAACAAGGAAGGGAAGAGCAAATAGTTTTATTATATAAGTGGACTGAGCAGAGACAGGGAAGTCCCCACATACACCCTGGAGCCTGAAACACACAAATGCTGAGTGAAGTCCCTTGCACTTGATTCTAACTCTTGTTGACAAGACACTTCAAACACACAGAGGTAAAGGAAGGCTATAATAGGCCCTCAGCACCCAGCTGCAACCGTTCCCAACTCATGACCAATCTGGTTTCATCTCTTACTCACCCCCTCGAGCCTGGCCGCCTCAACTTTCCTCCCCAACCCAAGCACTGTGAGGCACATCCTGGGCATCCCAACTGTCCATTCACGGGAATTTCGGAGTGTACATCCTAAAGATAAGGACTCAGCCATGAGATCATGATCACATTCAAAAACTGACAACTTCTCCTATTACCAAATACTCAGATGGCTTTTGTTGTTTTAGCGGAAATGGAAGAACAGGTCCTAGGCTTAGAGAAACCCCAGGCCCAGAGTGGCAGTCAACCTCCCAAAAGGATGTGAGAACTGCTGGAGCTCCCCTGGAGACATGTGGGGTAATCACTAACTTTGTGACTTAAGGGTCTCTGGGCCTCAGTTTCCCCATATAAGAAATAGAAGTAGCAACAGCTCTATCCCATGAAGTAGAATCAAAGGAGACCTTCCCCACAGAGTTCTCTGGTCAATAGTCTTACTGCGCATGTTCTACACACTGGGCATTGTCACTAGTAGGAGGTGAGTGCAAACCGTCACCTTGGCAACATAAACTTGTAATCCAACTGCTCTGTTTGGCTTAAAGGTGCAGATCTATCTTGCCCATTCTGAGGTCTCAGGTAGTTCATATACCTAGAAATGAGATCAGGCTGGACCACAGAAGGATTTCTGGTGCTTAGATAAAAGCCAGCATTCCTCAGGAACTTGAGAAACCGGTTCCCATCTGCCCAAAGAAGTCATTTTCCTTACCTCTGGCAGGACATCTGGCTGGCTACCTGTGACACCTACCAGATTATCAAAGCTAGATTCCTGGCCCTTTCCTCCCCCATCTTATAATCCATATGCTCTCTCTCTCTCTCTCTCTCTCTCTCTCTCTCTCTCTCTCTCGACCTGTAGCCCAAGCTATCCTGGAACTCACTCTGTAGACCAGGCTGGCCTCAAACTCACAGAGATCCACCTGCCTCTGCCTCCTGAGTGCTGGGATTTAGGGCATGAGTCACCACCACCCAGCTTCAGTGATCTCATTTGTAAAATGAATTCAATAAAGTTAATGACATCACTGGACTACTTGAGGGAATGACTGAGGATGTGTGTGGAGTGCTTAGCCAGCTACCTGGCAGCAAGTCTATGCTATGTAAATGTTAGTAACTATCATTATTATTGCTTTACAAACTTTAAAGTCGTGTGAGCTGGGAGAGCAGAGATCCACCCTTGTCCAGTGACACCTGCGTTGCTTTGGTGGCAAGCTCATTTCCACCACATGACACTGCACTTGCTGTTCCCTCTGCCTGGAATTCCCCCCCAGGCCCCCAACTCCTGGCACAGCTGGTGCATCTGGCTGATTCGGCCCTTAGCTCACATGACTTGCCCTCCTCGGCCTGGGAGGCCTTCCCTGATCACCCCGCTACAGTAATCACCCTTACCCTCTCCCTCCCCACCAGCCACTCCAGGCTTTTAGCCTGTTATTTTCCCCAGCATACTTAAAAACCATCTGAAAGTGGCAAGAACAGGTTTGTTTTTTAAGTTCTAGTGGGGGAGGGGGGATCATGAAACTATCTGGTTTATTGTGTGTCTCCTCGGGGAGTCTGCAACTCCAGGAGAGCAAGGATCTTATCTGAGCCAGGTGTGATGACTCACGTCTGCAATCACAGAACTTGGGAGGTGGCAGCAGGAAGACAGAGTTCAAGGCCAGCCTGGGCTACACTGCAAGACTTGGTTTCAAAACACAAACAGAAAAACAGAACAGGGCAGATCTTGTCTGTCTCATTCATTGCCGAATCCTCGGTGCCTAGAAATCCTGGCACATGGAAGATATCCAGTAAACTGGTCAACCTAGTAAATAAAATAGGAATAGTGACTCCTGGCCCAAGGCTGACAGCAGCCCAGCAGACACTGAAGCATTTCCTTAATGAAGGAAAAAGCTCAATGAACACCTTGTATATTAGTGGCTATATGTGATTTGAGCTGTTACCCACTCCACCTTCCAAGTATTTTCCCTCTCTTGCAAGTAGGAGGAAGGGTACTCCCTACTGGTGCTCCACCATGAGTCTGCATTGGTTCAAATCGTCTCATTCTGAGCATATCTTCTCTTCATTCCAGGCAGCTAAGCCTCTGACCCTAGAGCCTAACATCTCCAAGCTGTTCCCTGCTTTGAAATTTTTCTGAACTTTTCCTAGCATTTCCAATTACTGGGGTAGTT